GGAGTCTTTGGGGTTTTCTATGTCATCTGTGAATAAGAACGGTTTTACTTTTTTCAAATTTAGATGCCTTTTATTTCTTCTTGTTTGATTGCAATGGCTAGTATTCCCAGCACTATGTCGAACAGGACTGGTGAGAGTGGGCATCCTGTCTTATTCCTGTCCTTAGTGGAAATAGTTTCTCTTTGTGCCATTTGAGATGTTGCTGATGTTTGTCATATATGGCTTTTATTATGTTGAGGTTTGATTCTTCTATCCCCACCTTGCTGAGAGTTTTTATCAAGAAATGGTGTTAGGCCGAAACCGGTTTGGCTTAGTGGTAGAGTGCCCGTCTGCAGACTGAAGGGTCCCAGGGTCAATTCCTGTCAAGGGCATGTACGTTGGTTGTGGGCACCCGGTAGGGGGTGTGCAAGAGCAGCTGGTAGATGTTTCTCTCTCATCGATGTTTCTAGCTCTCTATCCCTCTCTTCTCCTCTCTGTAAAAAATCAATAAAATATATTTAAAAAAGAAAAAAAGAAATGATGTTGGATTTTGCTAAATGCCTTTTCTGCATCAATGGTATGACTATGTGGTTTTTATTTGGTATATAACATTTATTGATTTATAGATATTGTACCATCCTTGCATCCCCAAGAGAAATCCCACTTGGTCATGGTGTATGATCTTTCTAATGTAATGCTGGATTTGATTTGCTAGAATTTTGTTGAGGTTTTTGACATCTATGTTCATGAGGGATATTGGCCTGTAATTTTCTTTGTATTGTCTTTATTTGGTTTTGGGATTAGAAAATGCTAGCTTCATAGAAAGAGCTTGAAAGTGCTCATTTTTTATTCCTCTTGGTTGAATTTTGCAAAGTCATATGGAATATGTTCATTTCTTCTAGGTTTGTTGGAGTAGACTTGCTCATAGTATTTTATTTATTTATTTATTTATCTATTTATCTATTTATTTATTTTCCTATTCTTCATATTTTTGTGGGTCTGTTTTATTTCACCCCTTTGTAGCTTGTTATGTTTTTATCTGGGAAAAGACAGAATTTCCATTCAGCCAGCTTTACTTATGCTAAAGTAAAGGAGCCATCTTGGTTCTCCTGAGGGTTTTTATAATCATAAATGGATATTGAATTTTATCAAGGGCTTTTTCTACATCTATTGAGATGATCTACTGATTTTTATTTTAGAATGTTTTTGATGTGGTATATAATGTTAATTGAATTGCATATATTTAGCCATCTTTGAATCCATGGTATAAATCTTTCTTGATCAAGATCTGTAATCTTTGTAATGTATTGTTGAATTTTACTTGCTCAGATTTTGGCATATTTATATATAGAAGCCTAAGTGATTGTTTGACCAATAACTGTGTTGCACACTGACCACCAGGGGCCAGACGCTCTAATTGGTTAGCTTGCTGTTGGGGTCCATCCAATTGAGAATAGACAAGACAGGCCGGGCATGCCCTGGAGCCTTCCTGTGGTTCTTTCCCAGTTGGCCAACCTTCCATGTCCCTCCATGGCTTTGATTGTGCACTGGTGGGGTCTCTGATAGTGAGAGGTCATAGGCCAGGCCAAGGTGCCACATTCATGCAAAAATTTGTACACTGGGCCTTTAGTATGTTCATAAGTGATATTGGCCGGTAAATCTTCTTTTGTAATGCCTTTGTCTGGTTTTGGCTTCAGAGTAATCCTGGCCTCCTAGAATAAGTTTGAAATTGCTCCTTCCTCTTAAATTTTTAGGCATAGTTTGAGAAGGACAGTTATTACTATTTTGATTAGTTGGTAGAATTAACTTGTCAAGTTATCTATCCTGGACATTGCCATGAGGTTTTTTAAATTACTGCTTTGGTTGTAATCAATCTATTCAGTTTGTTTCATTCAGTTTTAGTATTGACAGTAGTATGTTTCCAGAAATTTATTTATTTTTCCAGGTTATTCAGTTTGTTAGCTTGTATTAATTGTTCATATTATTCTTTAACAGTCCTTTGTTTTTCTGTTGTATCAGTTATAACCTCTGCTCTTGCATTTCTGATACTAGAGGCCTGGCACAGGATTGGGTTAAAACCAGCTCTCCAACATCCCCTGAGGGGTCCTGAATTGTCAAAGGGTGCAGGCCAGGCTGAGGAGCCCCACCAGGGCATAATTGGGGCTGGGGAGGAATGCGGGAGATTTTCCAGCAGGAGAGGAATTGCAGAAGGGCTTCAGGGTGTGTCTGTCCAGTCTTGCTCAATGTCAATTTGGCAGGATCCCAGCAGCAAGCTAACCTGTTAGTTGAAGTGTCTGCATTCTTGTGGTGAGTGCACATCTTAGCGAGCATTGAGTGTCCCTTAGCATATGACATTTTGATTGCTAAGCATATACAATATTTCTGCAAACATATCCCCATCGTTAAGTGAAGCATGACTGTATATAGTTTGATATTAGAATTATAATGTATAAGATACATATTCTGCTGTGTTAGGAGAATTTGAATAGTCAAAAATATTTGTGAGACTAATTTAACTTTTATCAAAGTATTTGTTATTTAGCATATTAAGCTTGTATCTTATAAGATATTGCTAAGCATATGTTACTTAGCACATTAAGCTTGCATTTGATGATAAGATTACTAAAGGCCCAGTGCACGAATTTGTGCACAGGTGGGGTCCCTCTGGGTGGCTTGCAAGAATTGGGCTGAAATCCTCAGTCCAACGCAGCTCATACCTGATGCTCCCCCTCATTCTGGTCCCAGATTGCAAGAGGGTGCAGACTAAGCTGAAGCACCTCACTGGTGCAAGGTCCGGCCAGGGAGGGACCACAGGACGGCTCCAGGGCATGTCAGGCCCATCTAACTCAGTCCTGATTAGCTGAACCCCAGCAGCAAGCTAACCTTTTGGTTAGAGCATCTGCCCCCTAGTAGTCAGTGCACATTATAGTGAGTGGTGGAGCTGCCTTAGCATATCATTAGCAATTATGCTTTGATTGGTTGTTCAGTTGTTCTGCCCTTTGTCTATTTACATATTACCCTTTTAGTATATAGTATTTATTTGCATTTTGTTTTTGTCTTGGTGAGTCTGGCTAAACTTTGTTGATAGTTTCATTACTATCCATTTTCTGTTTTAGAATCTGTTTCTGCTCCTGTCAATTATTATTTTCTTTATTCTGCTCATTTGGATTTTATTTGTTCTTTTTCTAGTTCCTTTTTATCTTGTTTATTTAAGCTTTTTATTATTTTATTTTATTATTTCAAAGAGAGAAACATTGGTGATGATAGAGAACCTTTGATTGGCTTCCTCCTGCACACTCTCTATGGGGGATCAAGTCCACAACCCAATCATGTGTCCTGACCATGAACTCCTGGTTCATAGGTTAACTCTCAACCACTATGTGCCAGCCGGGCTGAGTGTTTTCTTGTTTCTTAAGATAGATGTGTATAGCTATGAACTTTCCCCTTAGAACTACTTTTACTGCATCCTTTAAATTTGGGGAAGTTGTGCTTTCCTTTTTATTTGTATTTAGGTATATTTTTTTATGTTTAATTTCTTCTTTGATTCATCAGTTGTTCAGTCACATTGTTTAGTGTTTGTGGGTGTGTGTTTTTCCCCCCAGTTTTTGTCTTATAACTGATTTCTAGTTCCATACCTTATGGTCAGAAAATATGCTTGATGGGATTTCAGTCTTCTTGGGTTTATTAAGAGTTGTTTTGCGGCCCAATATTTAAACAATCTTGAAGAATGTCCCATGTGTTTTTGAAAAAACTGAGTTTTCTGCCCTTTGGACGATGCAATATTCTAGTAATTTGATGTGATGTAACATGACAACTAAGGCCATTGTTTCCGTATTAATTTGCTGTCTGGATGATCTCCCACTATGTTAAAGTTGCAAAATAGTAGAGTAGTAAAGTACAGAAGTAAAGGTCCCTACTAGTGTTACTGCTGTTAATTTCAAACCTTTATGTTTATTAATATTTGTTTTAGATACTTAGGCACTATTATGTTGGTTCATAGACATTTATAATAGTTACTAGTATATCCTCTTGGGTTGACACCTTAAAAAGTTTGTAATGTCTTTTTCATTCTGTTTGTATGAAATGTCTCTTCCTTCATTCAGTGTATGTGTATCTTTCCATCTAACATGAGTCTCTTGTACACAGGATAAGATAGGTTTGGTTTTTTTTAAATCTATTAAAAAAAACCAAACCTATCTTATCCTGTGTTTAATTTTTATTTTATGTTAATTTAACTACAGTAAATGTTCAACATTCTCTGTTAAAATCAGGGATACAGTATACTTCACAAAGTGGTCCCTGTTGATCCCATACATTATTATTATAATACTATTTTTTAAAAGATATTTTTATTATTATTAATTTCAGAGAGAGAAGGGGGGTAGGGAAAATAGAATACATCAATGAAGAGAGGGACTCATTGATCAGCTACATCTCCTACATGCCTCATGGAAATGGAGCCTGCAACTCGGGCATGTGCCAACCACTGAGCTATATTATTCAGGCTATTACAATATTATATTCACTATGCTGTAATTTATAGTCCTGTGATTATTCTGTCTTTTGATTGGAACATTTAGTCTATTTCTGTTTGCTCTGAGGGCCTATTTTGAAGGGTTGTTCGTTTGTTTTTAAACTAAATCTATCATGCTATCCAAAACCTCTAATTTTAAAGTTTTGTGCCAGGGTAGTAACTTACCTGTGGTGGGATAATTATAAGCATTTAAAGTTGGGATGTTTATAGGAATTAACAGGTATAAATTGTTAGGGGACCAGTTACATTTTTTAAAATATACATTTTTATTAATTTTTTTTATAATGTTTGTGAGAACTGGGAGTAATTTATAAAGGAACTATTACTAGTAGTAATGACAATAGCTAATATTACTTGTCATTTGCTATTGACTTATTTGCAAGCATTTGTTTTTCATATAGCTCTTAAAACCCAGTGACTTAAAGTCATTTTTGGTCCATTCAGTTTATAGTATAATAATGACCCTTTTTCCCTCTTTAATTTTCAGGTCACCAAGAAAATAACAACTTCTGTTCTGTTAACATAAATATTGGTCCAGGTGATTGTGAATGGTTTGTCGTTCCTGAAGATTATTGGGGAGTTCTGAATGACTTCTGTGAAAAGTGGGTTTTTGAACTTTTAAAGTAATTTTGAAAAACATTATTTGTAAAGAGCAAAAGTATGATGCTAAATTTCAAATTATTGTTTAGCAGAAATTTTATTTTCAATTATCCTAATTCAAATTTTTTATTCTATATTATGTGGAATAATATGTGAAAGGCCATAAAACCAGGAGTAGTAATAGGCATGAATTCAGAAGACAGGGAATAAATTATTTTTTGTGTTAATTTTTAAAATTGATACCTGAATCTACATTCATTTGGCTAGTGTGCTTTAAGAGAAATTTAGCTTCTTGTAAGTAAATTTAAAAATGGTAAGAATTTTAAAAGTAAATGCCCCTTTACCTTATTAATGTGTATTTTTATAAATCAGCCTAAAATTTTTCATTATCCAACAGCAAACAAATCATCTGTTATTTTCAGAGTGGATAATGTTATTAGTACAACCATGTAAATTATATACTTATAAAGATAAAAATATTGGATGAAATTCTCAAAATATACATCAGATTATTTTTAAATCAATACACACACTAATTTTTTTTTTTTTTTTAGCATTTTGGAGGATTTTATCAATATATTTTATTTAGTAAAAAGTACATTATAGTGTCTAAAAAGTAATATTCCTTTATTGATTTTTTTTTTTTTTAATTCTCAATGATATGTTTAGAGAGAGGAGAATGGGATGGGAAGGGGGAGAAATTCTTGTGAGAGAGAAATGTTTATCAGTTTCCTTCAATATGGGCCCTAACCAGGTTTATACCCACTGCTTGGATATGTGCCCTGCCCAGGAATCAAATCCACAACTTTTTTTTGGTATATGGTATCACACTCGAATCTGCTGAACTACATGGCCAGGGCATAGGATTACTTTTAAATGTTGTTTTATGTATATATTTTCCTCATTTTGAGCTGAAATTTAAAAGAATTTATTTAGAAAATCTTTTATCTGAACTTTATCAGCAGATTAGAAGCTTAAGCAAGTAAAAGATAATTGTGTCTTCAATTAAAAAATGTATATTGTAGTATTTGTTCAGTACACTGTTTCTTACTATATTGGGTGAGAACTATTTTCACACAGACAAATGAACTAGGTTACAAATAGTTGGGAAAGACAGGTGTTCCAAAATTTGAATTCAGAGTGTTAAATATATTGTTAGAATAATTCACTTATCTAAATTGCAAAAATGGCACAATTTAGAAAAATGGCACTGGATCATCTCAGCTTTGACTGTGATGTTATATTCCATAAAGATAATTGCTTTCCAAGTTTGTAATTCCTATTTTAACTTTATGTCTCTATGAAACATTTTTCTTTCAATTATTGTTCTCAACTTTAGAAACAAAATGATCAATTGGACTTCATTGGCTTTCCTTTTTTTAAAAGGAAAGTTTTTTCTAACTTTATATTGGTAGTATTTGGGTAAAATAGAACTATTATAGTTTGTACTGTGTAATTTTTTATGAGGAAAGATAAAGTAAAAACATTTTAAATCTCCAGAAAGAAACAATTCTATGATGTGAATTTCTTGAGATTAAATAATTTGAAGTACCTAAAGTGTATGTTACTAAATTCTTTCTTAGAAAAAAATTGTTAATGTGGTTATTTAATCATGTGATCGAGAGTAGTAAATAATTAAATTTAAAATAAAGCTTAATAATTTGTTCTGTTTGTGTTGGTGCTAAAAGTGGTGGGGTATGTAATAATATTGAACTTCTAGCAATTCCTAGTAAGTAGAAGATAGAAAACGTGTGGATCCATTGATGAATCAAGGGAAGGTTCTTGTTTTTACATCTACCACAGTGATGAAGTATAATCGGCTTTATGTAGTCTTCACTCTCAATTTCCTTTTCAGAAATTTACATTATAAGAAATTCTTTAGGAAGAAGGGATAAATTATAATAGTCTATTTTTATTTATTTATTTACATTTTTAAATATATTTTGATTTTTTTTTTTTTTACAGAGAGGAGGAGAGAGAGATAGAGAGCTAGAAACATCGATGAGAGAGAAACATCTATCAGCTGCCTCTTGCACACCCACTACCGGGGATGTGCCTGCAACCGATGTACATTGCCATTGACTGGAATCGAACCTGGAACCTTTCAGTCTGCAGACCGACACTCTACCATTGAGCCAAACTGGTTTCAGCTAGTTTATTTTTATTGAAAGCAAATTATAAACCAGAATATCTAAGTATAATGTGGGACTTTAATTTTTGGATTTTGAGAAATATATGTAAGCTTATTATATAGATCTTTGTATAAATCTCCCTACTCTTGCTACTGTTAATTTTGTTTTAAAGCTCTCACTTTTGATAAATGTAATTATTATTACACACTCTTAAGTTTTAATGAACTATGCACTGAAAGCCTTTTTAATGTTTTGAAATTATTTCCACATGTTTGATGAAACAGTAAAAAATTGCTTACCTTTCTGTCCTCTTCCCCCTCCTCCCCACCCCCAGAAATAATTTGAATTTCCTAATGAGTTCTTGGTGGCCCAACCTTGAAGATCTTTATGAAGCAAATGTTCCAGTGTATAGGTTTATCCAAAGACCTGGCGATTTGGTCTGGATAAATGCAGGCACTGTGCATTGGGTTCAAGCCATTGGCTGGTGTAACAATATTGCTTGGAATGTTGGTCCACTTACAGGTATTTCAAATTAATTCTTTAATAGACTTTACATGTTTAAGGACTTTTTCTAATGTAGATACTGTTTTTTTTTATTAGGAAATAGCTCATTAAAAATTGAGAGGTTGTGTCTGCTAAAAAAATCTTTTTAGTACGAAAAGTAATTTGAAGTTAAGAAATGGATATTCAAGAACAGATGTTCAAAAATCTGTGTTTTGTATTTTATAAAGGAAGTTATTCTATGGGCAAAACAGATTGTTATTTAGAATTTTTATTTCATCTGGTATATCACATGCATAGTCTGAGAACATCAAACTGTTAAATATGGGTAAAATAAAGAATCTGGCCTTTGGAGCCAAAAAAGACCTTAATAACATCTTCTTGGTTCTACTTTTGTTAAACCATATAACTTTAGGAAAATGTTTCGAATTTTTCAGGGCCTCATTTATTTATTTATTTTTCTATCTACAAAATGAAAACTGTAAAGTCAATAAAGCTTTGAAATAATATGAAGTATAAAAAGCGTAGCACAGAGTTGAACCTTAGTGAGGGCTCTTTACAGGATAATTTAAGAAAAACAACACTATAATTTAAAATCTTCTAATATATTGAGGTATCAGAGTTGGTATTAAAGTTATCAAGTGAAATGTGATCAATGATTATCTTCATATCTATCATTACTTTGGGTTAATTTATACCTTTGAAAAAAATTTTTTTTTTCGTAGCCTGCCAGTATAAATTGGCAGTGGAACGGTACGAATGGAACAAATTGCAAAGTGTAAAGTCATTAGTACCCATGGTTCATCTTTCTTGGAATATGGCTCGAAATATCAAAGTCTCAGATCCAAAGCTTTTTGAAATGATTAAGTAAGTGCTTTAAAACACTGCTACAGAGGAAAGGGGGCGGGTGTACAACTAACCAATTTTCCCTCAGTGAAAAATGATAAAATAGTTGACAAATGCTAAAATAATCTTAAGTTGTTTTTAAAAAATGTTTTATTGATTTTTACTGAGAAGAATGGAGAGGGATAGAGAATTAGAAACATGGATGAGAGAGAAACATTCATCAGCTGCCTCCTGCACACCCCACATTAGGTACATACTCTTGACTGGAATTGAATCTGTGACCTTTCAGTCCACACCCCAATGAATGAAACATTCATCAGCTGCCTCCTGCACACCCCACACCACACTAATCAGGGCATAATTCTGAAGTTTTGACCAAAAAAGGAAATAAGAGAATTGACATGTTAACGATATTTTCTTCCATAAATGAAAATATTTATGTATAAGTTTATTTTCTCCCTTTCCAAATAAATTATAATTATTATGGTATAGAGAGAAATTAAGGTATACATGATTCTATACTAAATTCATACATCTATGCTTTCCTTAACCTCTGACCAAATTGATTTCTAATGATCTTGTTATTTTTTGTTTTGTTTGTTTATTAATCCTCCCTCACCCAAGGATATCTTTTTCATCACTTTTCAGAGACAGTGGAAAGGAGGGACGGTGAGAGGGAGAGAGAGAAACATAGATAAGAGAGAAACTATCTCCTACACTCAGGCAGGGAGAGAAACTCCTCTGTCCCTGTGCAAGAATTTCGTGTATCAGGCCTCTAGTGATGTTATAAATATTCAAATGGCTCTCAGCAGAAAAAAGGTTCCCCACTCCTGATTTACAGTGTTTTCAAAACTTATTAGATTGTTTATCTTTAGAAATACTCATGCTTGTTATCTTTAGAAATACTCATGCTTTATTATAAATAAATTTAGATTTATAGAAAAATATTTTTGTTGTTCTAACCAATATATTTTCACAAATATTGTGAGGCCAGTATAGTGTACCTATGCTTTATTTTACTTACTCATTACATTAAAAAAATAAATCTTATTGCTCAGATTATTACAATTGTTTCTCCTTTTTCTCCCCTTAGCTCCCTTCCATCAGGTTCCCATCCCACCCTCTGTCCTTAACTCCCCCCCACTATTGTCCTCATCCATAGGTGTACCATTTTTGTCCAGTCTCTTCCTGCACTCCCACATCCCTTTCCCCCTGATAATTATCAATCCATTCCTTTTGCCCCTGATTCTATTATATTCACCAGTTTATTCTGTTACTCAGATTTTTAATTCACTTGATTTTTAGATTCACTTGATAGACACACACACACGCATGCACGCACGCATGCATGCACGCACACACGCACGCACGCACCCACGCACGTACGTATTTTCCAGCATATAAGACGACCCCTTAATTTTACAATTAAAACACAGGTTTAGGCCTATATTCGCTATATAAGACTACCCCCACTTCAAAGAAAAGACTTACTTTGCCGTCTAGATCTGCAGGTAATTTTTGTGCAATTTTGGTCTTTTGCCCCCGATTTTCGATTGACTTTTTTTCGTTTCGAAAGTCGTCTTATACGCCGGAAAATACGGTATGTTGATCATAATTTTAATCTTTTTTCTTTCCTCTTCTTAAAGAATACCTTTCAGGATTTCTTATAATCCTGGTTTGGTGGTGATGAACTCCTTTAGCTTTTCTTTTGTCTGTGAAGGTCTTTATCTGCCCTTCAATTTTGAATGATAACTTTGCTGGGTAGAGAGTTCTTGGTTGTAGGTTCTCACTATTCATCACTCTGAATATTTCTTGCCACTCCCGTCTAGCCTGCATAGTTTTTGTTGAAAAATCAACTGATAGTCGTATAGGTGCTCCCTTATAGATAACTGTTTTTCTCTAGATGCTTTTAAAATTCTCTTTGTCTTTTGCCCTTGGCATTTTAATTATGATGTGTCTTGGTGTGGTGCTCTTTGGATTCCTTTTGTTTGAGGTTCTGTGCACTTCTATACTTGTAAGTCTATTTCTTTTACATGGTTGAGGAAGTTTTCTGTCATTATTTCTTCAAATAGGTTTTCAGTATCTTGCTCTCTTTTTTCTCCTGGCACCCCCATAATTCTGAATTTGGTATCCCAGAGCCTTCTTACATTATCTTCAAATATTTGGATTCTTTTTTCTTTTAGTTTTTCTAGTTGAGTGATTTTTGCTTTTTTATATTTCAAATCTTTGACTTGACTCGTGCGTTTCTCTAATTTGCTGTTGGGTGTCTGTATAATAGTTTTTATTTCAGTCAGTGTATGTTTAATTACCAGTTGGTCTTTTTCCATATCCTCAAGGGTCTCTCTCATATCCTCAAGGGTTTTGCTAAATTTATTAGCTTTTCTAAGAAATTCTTGAAAAACCTTATAACCATGGTTTTGAACTCTATATCCAGTCATTTGTTCTCCTTCATTTCCTTCATTTGAGATCTGTTTCCTTGTTTCCCAATTTTCACTGCTTCCCTGAGTTGGTAGGCCTGGTTGGCCAGCCTCCCCAGTTACCTGAATTAGACACTCTTGGTGCTCCCCTTTGTGTACTGCATGTATTGTCTTGTAGTTGTCTTAATTGTTTGTTGGTATCCCTGGGAGGAATTGACCTTCAAGCCAATTAGATGAGCGTATCAGCTGTGTCTACTCTGGGATATCTTCTGTATTGGAGACAGTCTTATAGGATCAGACTTGCAAAATTGCAAAAGCCTCTGTGCTCAGCTTGGATGGGGTGGATTCTTAGGGCTGAACCGATAGTCTTGGCTTCCCATTAGCTCTGCCCTTGTGCGCACGGCTCAGACCTTTGCCTTCCATGGATCCTCTGAGTTTCCACCTGACAGTACAGATTCCCCTTATAAGAGCATGGGTGCTCCAGGGGCTCGCCCAGAACTGTATTTCAGTGCTCAGTGCAGTCAAAACTGGGATTCAGTGAAGCCTAGAGCTTCCAACTTCTTCCAGTATGGAGGAGTGGCAGTCCACGGTCAGACCTCTCTACAGGCTCTCATTTGTGCAACTCTAAGCCTGCTCGCTGCAGCTTCCGGCTTCCAATTGGAGTGGACTAGTTGGATGCCAACCTTGCAGAAATTAGTGCACCAGGCATCTAGTAAAACAATAAAGTCAAAATTGATAAAATTTTAAATGTTAACTTAAAAATTTAAAACTCCTATAAGAAAACATGGGTGTAAAGTTTCGGACATCTTTTTATAGGATTTTTTCTGAAATGCTTGATTGGGCAAGGAGAACAAAAGGAAAAATAAATCAAACTAAAAGTTTTCGTACAGCAAAGGAAACAAACAAAAAGACAATCAACTGCCCTAGCCCCTTTGGCTCCTTGGTTAGAATGTCAGCCCATTGACCAAAGGATTAAGGGATTGTACCTCAGTTGTAGGCTCACTCCGCAGTCTCAGTGTACAAGCAGGAGGCAACCAGTGAATGTATGTCTCACATCACTGTTTCTCTTTGTCTCTCCCTCTCCCTTTAATTTTCTCTTTTTAAAAAAAATATCACTGGAAAAAATATATATCCTAGGATGAGTATTAACAACAGCAACAACAAAGAAGTCAATTCACTTTGGGAAAATATACACTGAGTGGTCAGATTATGATGATATCTGAACGCATACTAATATGGCCACTCAGTGTATATCATTTATATAATAAAAGGCTAATATGCAAATGGACCCATCAATTAAGAGTTTGATCAGCAAGCAGGCCAGCATGTCCCCTACCCCTGGCCAGGCTGGCTGGATCCCACTCATGCATGAATTCATGCACCAGGCCTCAGTGTATTTGCTAAAGATACATCAGATAAGAAGTTAACGCTCAAATTTATATAGAATTTATAAAGATTGTGTAAAGGGAAATGAGTGAGAATAATAGAAAATGAAGAAAAGAAAATATAGAGAAGATAGTGACTTTACATGGTTATTCATACTTTTTTAGTATTCTATATAATAAAAGAATGATCAAATTAACCATCACTCCGCTACATCCACCAGCCAATCAGAGCACAAATGCAAATTAACCACAACAGAGATGGCTATAGCCACAGAGAGCAGAAGGGAGATTTGGTTTCCCAGGCAACAGAGGAAGCTAAGCTTTTCCCCTGCCCTTGCCAGTGTAGGCCTCCACTCAAGGCTACAAAATTTCAATTATAGAAAGTAAACAAATCCAAACAGAAATGGCCACAGCCTCGGAGCAAGCAGGAGGCTTGGCTCCGCTCCAAGCTACAAAGTTTCAATTGTAGAAGGTAAATAAATTCCATATACCAGGGCCTCCACTTGGGTCACTGGGGGTGTGTGACCTGCCTGCAAACAACCAGAAGTCCCTCACTTAGGCTGCTCTATGCCCCAAGGAAACCCCCACCTTGATCTGGGACACCCTTCAGGGCAACCAGCTGGCTTTATCCTATCTAATAAAAGAGTAATATTCAGATTGACCTCACTCCAACACAAGATGGCTGCCCCCAGCCGAAACCAGTTTGGCTCAGTGGATTGAGTGTCGGCTTGTGGACTGAAAGGTCCCAGGTTTGATTACGAACACAGGCATGTACCTTGGTTGCAGGCACATCTCCGGTAGGAGATGTGCAGGAGGCAGCTGATAAATGTTTCTTTCTCTCATCAATATTTCTTAACTTTCTATCCCTCTCTCTTCCTCTATAAAAAATTAATAAAATATATTTTTTAAAAAGATGGCTGCCCCCATGTGGTCAAAGATCCTGCCCCCATGTGGACACAAGATGGCCACCACAAGATGGCCAGCAGGGGATGAAGTTGGGAGGCACCAGGCCTGCAAGGGAGGGCAGTTGGGGGTGATCGACCTGCAGGGGAGGGCAGTTAGGAATGACCAGGTTGGCAGAGGAGGAAAGTTGGGGCAAACAGGCTGCAGGGGAGCAGTTAGGCATCAGTTAGGCTGACATGGAAGTGGTTAGGGGGTGACCAGGCTGGCAGGCAGAAGCAGTTGGGGGCAATCGGGAAGGCAGGCAGGGCAGCAGTTGGGAGCCAGCAGTCCTGGATTGTGAGAGAGATGTCCCAGATTGGAGAGGGTGTAGGCTGGGCTGAGAGACAAACCCCTATCGGCCCTGTGCATGAATTTTGTGCATCAGGCCTCTAGTTTTTATATAAATTATCAAGTTTGTATATCTTCAAGTAATTTTATCTAGCTCCAGTACTTGGTTGGAGCTTCTTCCTGAAGGTCACTAAACTGGTTTCAAGTTCAATTCCAGTCAGAGCAAATAGCCACTAAACTGGTTTCAAGTTCAATTCCAGTCAGAGCAACTGGGTTTTGAGTTTGATCTCTGGTTGGCACATAGCGGAGACAACTGATCAGTGTTTTTCTGTCTTTCTCTATCATCAATTAAAGCATATTCTCTGATGAGGATTAAAACTAATAATAATTTTATCCTAGACATATTTGTATGGTTTTGTTTTTAAAAAAAATTAACTTGAGAAGTAAAAATAGTACAGAAATATAAATTAAAAAATTAATTTCTTTATTACTGATCATATTATGAAGTTTATTTAGTAATTAAATATATTAGTAACAATATAATATATCAAAATCTCCAAGTTATATTGGGTCTGATTTTCTGAAATAATACTGTCCATAAACATTGTGATTTTTGTTAAACCACTTTCATGTTTTGTAGGATAACTTTACAGCTGGTATGTGCCTTATAAATCAGCTTTATGTAATTGCCTTCAAAGGAGAAGTTCAGATTTGTATATTCATGAAAACTTGACCAGGTGATTCTGAGTAATGAGAACAAATTATGGAAAAGTGAACACTTTGTGAAATTCACTACATGGTTGGCATCAGAATTACTAATGTAAAGACAGTATAAATTACAGAAAGTTAATAGTAATATAAATGAATTCCATTATACTACCTTCAAATTTAAATGAACCAATCATTTTTTTTCCCTTTAGTACTCTACTTAATATCATATTCTCTAATAACTTAAATCCATAAATAATTTTCTGCTTTGGTCTCAGAGTATTAAAATTAATTATCTATGTGATACTGTTTGTTTCACTGAAATCTATATGTCTTCTCACCTTACTCTAATGAAAACAGGTGCAGCCTGGAATTCAGACTGTATATTTCTAAGATAAAGAGATATAACCTTAGAATAAATAGTTCTTTCGGTTGTCCAGATCAGAGCAAAAATTGAGCATAGCTTTAAATAAGTGTCAAGGTTTTATAGACTAAGATTATTAGATTTTTATGTCAAATGTAAATTTTCAACTTAATACATCCAAAGGACACAAAACTCTGGGGAGAGAGAGTATGTATGGGAGGAGGGCGGGCAATGTTAAAATATGTACACAGATAATAATAATAATAAAAAAAAGACATTGTTAAATTGGTTCCTGCCAACTATAAATAAGACTCCTAGCCATGTCTACTTTGCCTTGGAGACTGGTTCCCATTCTGATCATATGTCACACTGTTGCTATTGGTACATTTCAGAAATACAATGAGCACAAAAACCTAAAAAAAAAAAAAATTCAAGTTAGTCTTTTAATATTGTAATTGTTTGATCTGTTATATATCAAAAATTGAGAAAGAACTTTTGATATTAATACATCATAGAACCAGGATTCTAAAAAATATTTCTGTTGATCATCTTGTATGCTAATAATATTTTAACACTCACTTGTCACAAAAATTTTTCTCCACAATAGGTATTGTCTTCTTAAAGTACTAAAGCAGTGTCAGACATTGAGGGAAGCTCTTATTACAGCAGGAAAAGAGGTTATATGGCATGGGAGGACAAGTGATGAGCCAGCACATTACTGTAGCATTTGTGAGGTAAACATTTCTATTAACAGTTGTTTTATTGTGAATTCACTAGGTGATTTTTTTTAATTATAAATTTACCTATACTTTTATGTAATGTTTTTCATTGAAATTGACTATTATAACAATTATATTAAATTTTTATTTGATTGTATAATCACTTTATTAGTTATTAACTTAGCAGTATCACCTACAGAAGCGTTCATGTGGTAGTACGTCCTTGCTAAGTGATAATCATTTCTGATTTTCAACTAAAAATAATCCTATATAATAAAAGGCTAATAAGCAAATTTCCCCCTTGACTGGGAATTCAACCAGAGGGCAAAGATGGGCCCCTCCCCCCAGCCAGATTCCACCCAATTTGTGCTAGTCCATAATAAGTATACTATTGTCAACAAATAAGATCTGTTTCATTATAAATCCAAGGAAATCAGCATTAAATTCTATACTTGTTGACTTTTCTCTGTGGCCAAGGTTTGCAAAACCTACAGTAATAAAGATGTGAAATTTCCTGTAAAAGAGTTTACATTTTACTTGAAGAAGACATATTATAAACAACTAGTTGTAATGCCCATGAGATTCTGATAGAAAACTATCATAGAAAATTTGAAGAGATGCCTGTGGACTTGTTAACATTTGAGTTTCTCCTTGAAGAATAAGTTTATTTCAACAGGCAGGAAGTAGATAGAATTGGAGGTTTATACATCATTAGGCTTTAAGAACAGTATAGTGATGGGAAAATTAATAGTGTATGTAATAAAGTCTGAGTAGTGCTATGTGGCTAACAAAAGCATCTTTTTTTAAATATATTTTATTGATATTTTACAGATAGGAAGGGAGAGAGACAGAGAACTAGAAACGTCAATGAGAGAGAAACGTCAATCAGCTGCCTCTTGCACACCCCGTACCAGGGTTGTGCCTGCAACCCAGGTACATGCCCTTGACCGGAATCGAACTCGGGACCCTTCAGTCCACAGACCGACGCTCTACCACTGAGCCAAACCAGTTTCGGCAACAAAAGCATCTTAAATTCAGTTTAAGGAATTTGATTTTTATCTGCAGATATTGATACTATTAATATTTTTTGACCAAAGCACTAAGTCAGAATATTTGAGAAAATGATGTTTGATAACTGGAAAGGATGGAGGTGGAAACAAAGCTCATTATGGAGGTTATTGAAGTAGTCTGATATTCTTTACACTACATAATGTTAGGAATATTAATAAAAAGAACTTTATAAGTGTTTAAAAAGTAAAATCCATAGGTTTTTGATGATAAGTTGAAAAACCTGAAAACTCAAATGGGTTACTAAGCTATGTTATTAACTATGAATAGAAAACTTTATGAACTCTGGAATTTTAGCAGAGCTATTCAAGAATGATTTAAGATAATGAATTTTTATTACTGACAAAATCAAACAAGTCTGAGAACAACTTTTAAATTGTATATTCTGAGATAAATTTATGAAATCCTTTGGTTTCATTTTAAAGTATATCCTTACCAACATGTATTATAAGATTAAACAGATTATGTTTAGGTGTTACACTTCAGGTAAATATGTATCTTTTTGGTATTTTGTATAAGATTCTTCAATGTTTTTCATATGTTAAAACTCTACTATTTTCCTTGAGTCTTACAACTGAACATTTGTTGTTTATATTCTTTCAAGTGGTTTTCTTTTCTTGTTTTTGTTTGTTTTGTTTTTTAGTATAATTATATGCTTTAGAGAGGGCCAAAAATGAGTAATATGTAGTTGCTGTCTTTGTGGAGCTTAGTATGGGAAGGAGATCTATCCAGACTCTGAATACTACTATAGAGGAGATCTATCCAGACTCTGAATACTACTATAAAGAAAAAATAATGACTTGATTTTTTTGTGTATTATATTTTGAGTAAATAATAGACTGACTTTTATCAATCTTATAATTAAACTAGTAAATATAATGAGTATTTCATTCCCTTAGGTTAATATCTAAATATATAACATTAATCTTCATTTTGCATGTGCTATAAAATAAACCTGGTCTTAAATAAATATGGGCTTTAAGTAATTTAAGTGAAAAAGCACTATCCAGAGTTTTACATAAAAATGAATTTCATAGTTACATAAAAGTAGTGCAATAAATTTAATGATCTTTATTCAGTGTTTTTTTTTCTCTTGTATAAAATAGGTGGAAGTTTTTGATCTGCTTTTTGTTACTAATGAAAGCAATTCTCAAAAGACCTACATAGTACATTGCCAGAACTGTGCACGAAAAACAAGCAGAAACCTGGACAATTTTGTGGTGCTAGAGCAGTACAAAATGGAGGACCTGATGCAAGTCTATGACCAATTTACATTAGTAAGTGAAATTAACATGTGATACATAACTAGGTTGTGAAGCAGCAGTGACAGTAATTAGTAAGATTACTTGTTTTCTCATTTCATAAGGAAAAAATATTCCTATGTTCTCAAACTTATAAGCAATTTTACACTGTCTCCTGTGCCCTGACCAGGAATCAAATTATGATGTCCTAGCTCAAGCACTAAACCAAATTGGCCAAGCATTTTTTTCCGTACTTTTAAATTATTATTATAGTCTTTATGTTATTTGACTTAAATAATAATTAAATCAAAATAGATAACTGTAGGAATGATCCAAAAAGTAAACAGTATTTTTAAAAATATACTTGTGCTTTCAGCATTAATTGTATTTAGTTAAAATTTAGTCTTTGCTATTAAGTAGTAAACTCATAGGAATGTTTGATGATAGGTCATATTTAGGTATAATATAAGAGATGCATGCAATTAAATTTAACTATATTGTGAGTTCTACAATTTTTTTATTTCAAGGACATGTTGCTTGGAATAGCATTTAATGCTTCTGGCTTTGAATAGCTTTATGAATGCAAACAATAGTTATTAGTGAGTTGTTAATATTGATCCAATTCCAGTGCTTTTGCTTCTAAATTTTTGAAATTAAGTTTCTGGTATTTCTTATTGGATGGCTCTCAGCATTATTTCATAAAGAAAAAATTTATGACATACTAGTGAGATTTTAATTGAATTTTTAAAAATTCTTTTTTAGACGACTCTCTCAGCATCTAAAAGATTTGTGATTTTAATGCTTCATAAGAATTTCTAACAAAATTATGAATTATAGGAAAATGGGAGGAGGTAGTGATTAAGGACACTTGGTAAATATAATAGACTTAGTAGGAGCACATCACTTAGCAAGCTGCTGAACTTTGGACATCATTGTTTGTTTCTAACTCTTTATTTGTTTAAGCTATGAGATAGAGAATACTGGTAAAAATTAATATACCAACTAACATACCTATTTTTAATTTTAGGTTCCTTCAGTATCATCCTCCTCTTCTTGATATTGCCCAATGATGTTATATGATGCCTTTTCTGCTCTTCAGGAAAGTTTTGCACCAGTGATTTTATAGCAGTTTTATGAGATTGCTAACTAAAAGCTATTTCTATGCAACCTTCCAAATATAGAATGTCAATCAACTTGGTATGACAACACTGTCTGTACTTTCAGAAGATCCAGTTGTACTTAATAATAAACATGTTTTATGGTATCTGACAAAACTGGCAATTTTCAACATCCTAATGACTTGAGACCTTTTTTTGTTTCTTTATTTCTGGCTTGATAACTTTATTTTCAGTTATATTTTACCTTTTAAGAATTTTTTTGGGGGTGGGGAGCAAAAACTGTTCTAGCAGGTCATTTGTTTGGTTAAGACACCAAATTTATTTCTTTGATCAACTTTTTATTAATGTAAAAATTAGATGAGAAAATTACTGCTTTATGTTTTTGTGTATTGATTGGAGGTTAATAACTAGGATGATTATACTTTTGGTTCCAAATTATTTTTTTTAATTTAATAGCATAATAGGACACAAAGATAATAGCTTGCACATAGAATAAGGAATAAACTTCAGACTTGTGATTTTTCTTTTTAATTTCATACAGATTCATACTATTTATGAATATATATATTTATTGCTTGAAAATACTTGTGAATGGAATGTTGTTGATTTTTAGATTTACCTGCCATTAATTATTAAGGAGTTCTGTCATTTTACACACTACTCCTTTTACTTTTTCTATGTATAAATAAAACTATTTAGCATTGTACATAAACACTATTAAAATGGTTGAATGTTTAGTATTTTGCACTCTTGAGTTTTAGCAAGACTTCTGTAAAGAAGTTTGTGTTCATTTTCAAATCTGATTACATATATTTTATGTATACATATAAAGACACCTGTATAACAAAATATATATTGTATAAACATAAAACTTTTAAACTTTCACATCTCTGGTAGTTTTTGAGGTGCCTGCTATAAAGAATCACTTACAAAGGTATGTTTATTTTTAAAATACATCTTTCAATCTGGTTTAAATTGCAATTATTACAATGATAGTAAATAATTACTGGCAAAATGTATAATATAAAATATAGTGACTAAGGGAACATTATATAGGTTTCATAAATTTTGTTTATCATGTATTTATTATGAAAAGAAATTTAGAATGATAGCTTTCATTTGAGGGAACAATGTGATAAGTAAATACCTTGTTTTTTAAAATTAGATGACAGAAATTCCATGCTTTTTTTCCTTGTATGACATGGTTAGGTGAAGGAGGAATTTACTCAAGTTTTGTATCACAAATTCAGTAAATAATTATCAAATTGTATGAAGATTTATTTAATATGAACAAATTATTTTAACAATAATATCTCATTTATAACAACTCTGCTTTCTGAAATATTTGGCCTATATTCTTGGTATTCTATAAATTGTATAAATTTACTTGTGCGAATGTTTAAAAGTATTTATAATACTAGTGGAATACCTTGAGGATAAAATGAAGTATCCTTTCAATTTTGGAGCTTTCTGGCTTCCTAGAAAACATTTGAAGACAAAAAACTTGCAGATGTTTTATTAAACTTGATAATTTTTTAACAACTTAAATCTTAACAGTAATTTTTATGTATAAAAATTGAAGCCCAGTGCATGAAATTCATGTACTCAGGAGAGTCCTTCAGCGCTGCATGCACCCTCTCGCAGACTGGGTCCCCTCGCTTCCTCTTTTTTACATATATATATGTGTGTGTGTGTGTGTGTGTGTGTGTGTGTGTGTGTGTATTAAAATACATCTTTCACACACACACACACACATATACATATATACATACAGAGAGAAAGAGAGGATAGAGAGTTATAAACATCGATGAGAGAGAATCATTGATCAGCTGCCTCTTGCACACCCCTTACTGGGGATGTGCCCGCAACCAAGATACATGCCCTTGGCTGGAATCAGAGCTGGGACCCTTAAGTCTGCAGGCTGATGCTCTATCCACTGAGCCAAATTGGTTAGGGCAACCCTCTCGCTTCTTAACACCTGCTTGCTTTCTGTTCCTTAGCACTGCGCGGAGGTGGGAGAGGCTCCTGCCTGCTCCACTGGACTCACCAGCTATCAGCCCAGCTTCTGTCCTCTGGTGGTCAGTGCATGTCATAGTGGCTAGTAGTTGCACAGTTCAGTCAATTTGCATATTAGGCTTTTATTATATAGGATAATTTAGAAGGAAATACAGATCTATTTTATGTTTTATTTTTATTGAATTCAGAGAGGAAGGGAGAGGGAGAGGAAGATAGAAACATCTATGATGAAAGGGGATCATTGATCAGCTGCCTCCTGCATGGCCCCTACTCTGGGGATCAGACATGTGGCTTAACCTGCAATTGAAGCGTGACCTGGTTCATGGGTTGATGTTCAACCACTCAACAACATTGGCTGGAACAGTATTTCAGACTACAAATACAATAGTGGTTCAATAGCTCCTTGTTTAGTATCTGCTAAAAAGCAAGTGTAGTTAAGGTATGACATTTACTTGTTATCTCTCATACACAAGAGGATTTTATCATCAAATATGGGAAATTTGTGTAAGTATACCACAAAATTGTATTTCTAGGGTTTGTGTTAGAGCACTGAATTAAGTCATTTACTGTTTACATCTCACATATGGGAGGTAACTGTGATTTTGGAAAAGTAATTGGTTTTATTTTATTACTAGAGGCCTGGTGCACGAAATTTGTGCACTGAGGTGTGTGTGTATGGAGGTGGGGGGGTGTCTCGCAGCCTGGCCTGCACCCTTTACAATTTGGGACAGCCCTCTCACAATCTGGGACTGCTGGCTCTTAACTGCTCGTCTGCCTGCCTTCCTTCCTGATTGCCCCTAATCATTCCCCTGCCAGTCTGATTGACATCCAACTGCTCCCCTGCTGGCCTGATATTGCTCCCAACTTCCCTCCCCTGCCAGCCATCTGGTGGTGGCCATCTTCTGATGACTTGAGGGCATTGTGCCAGGATGTGAGGGTCAGGTAAGCTTTTATTAGTATAGATTAGTATAGATTTATTAGTGTAGATTTATTAGTATAGACCCCAATCTACAAATTATATCTAATGGGATGAAAACTTCTATTGACTAATAATACCCTGTTTCCCCAAAAATAAGACAGTGTCTTATATTAACTTTTGCTTCCAAAGGTCGTATTTTCAGGGGATGTCTTACTTTCCATGAAGAAGAATATGGTACACATTTATTGTTAAATGAAAATAAAGGAAATTTATTACCTGTATATGGTACGGTAGTACGATAGTTGTCAACACAAACCAGACGAACTGTGAATCCTACAGTATTAAGAATTTTATTCAATGACAATCATGTCATCATCTTCTGGAACATCATCAGAACAATCCAATTCCTGAATTTCCTGGTGAATTTCTTGTGACTCCATTTCTTTCAGAATCAGTGGAGCAAATCTCTCATGTTTAGTCTGGGGGTGGCCTTATATTTCACTCAGAAAGAAACCTGTAAGTAGGTCTTATTTTCAGAGGATGTCTTATTTTCAGGGAAACGGTAGCATAGTTTTTATAATTTCACAGCACATTACATTAATATTTTGTTGATGCTGGTATACAGTGTTTATAGTATACTGTCATTTTCTAGGTCTTCAATTCATTCTCCACTCACTCCCTGACTCACCCAGAGCCATTTCCAGTCCTTCAAAATAAAAGCCTAAACAAATGTATAGTTTTCTACCTTTTATTCCCTATTTTTACTAGTAAGCCAGGAAAACTCTTGGCCAGTGGAATGGGAAAACTGAAACATGACTATTAAAACAAAACAATTAGAATTTATAGCCAGCTAGTGAATTGCAAGGCCTATGTTCCCTCACTCAGAACACTTGAGAACTAATAGTTTATATCTCCCCTCAGTAACCAGAGAATAAATACCTTAAATAATACTAGTCAGGAAAACAGAGACCGGAGATCCAATTAATGCCATTTGTGCCAATCAAGCCCAGGGATGAATGAAATTAGGGGAATGAATAACAAAATAAACCTAAAATAAAAGTAAAAGATCTCTAACTCCTGTTGATACTCATTTTGATGCATCAAGTTATTAAAAATGCACCTGTAAAGTTATCGGCTAAAACCTCTCCTACAATTGCCACCAGCCAAAGCAAAATATAAACCTTTAGACAGAAACCCAGTGTGGGTTCTAAAGCCATACCTATGCTACTTAACTAGCATGAAGTTTAATTCATCCTAAACTCTTTAGAGTCACCACAAGACTTGCAAACAAGAGCTTACTGCCTGTTCTTGTCTTGAAAAACCCTTTTCTCTGACTTCCCCATGCGTTAAAAGCAGCCTTGCTTTGGCTCTTTTCTGTCTCATAGTATTTTTGAGACTCAAAGCAAACCACCACCTATGCCGGGGATGTGCCCACAACCAAGGTACATGCCCTTGACTGGAATTGAACCTGGGATCTTTCAGTTCGCAGACTGATGCTCTACCACTGAGCCAAATTGGTTTCGGCTGAAATGGATCAGTTCTGTCCAGAAACACCCAATAAGACGTTATCTTGGTAATCAGCCTATACTAAACATGTTACCAACATTCAAGCAACATTTTTGTGGCATTGACAGAATGCTTTAGACACTAATTTTCTAGTGTTTCAAAATTTAAACAACTGAGATGTTTGTCTTTGGAAATACTTTTCAATTTGCCTAAGTATGATGCCCTTCTGAATAGCATATGCATAGTGATCCTCTCTGATATTGACAATATTTTACCACCGAAAAGGAATTAAAGGTCAGAGATAAGAATTCAAATTCTGACTATCTTGACCTCAGTAAGGGCTACTCCTTCCCACAATAGGAACATTAGCATTGCTAAGTTGTTACAAAGACTTTGTGTTTCAAGAGTCTTTTCCTTGTGGTAACTTTCGAATGAATGTATATTATGTTTCAGTTAAGTTTTTATTTTTACACTAGAGGCCTAGTATATGAATTCGTA